GTTGGGAGACTTTTAATGACTGTTTCTATTTCCTTAGGGGTTATTGGACTATTTAAATTGTTTATCTGGTCTTGATTTAACTTAGGTATGTGGTACCTATCCAAAAAATTACCCATTTCTTTTAGATTTTCCAGTTTTGTGGAGTACAGGTTTTTGAAGTATGACTTGATGATTGTCTGGATTTCCTCATTGTTAGTTGTTATGTCTCCCTTTTCATTTCTGATTTTGCTAATTTGGATGCACTCTCTCTGCCTTTTGGTTAGTTTGGAGATGGGCTTGTTTATCTTGTTGATTTTCTCAAAGAACCAACTCTTTGTTTCATTGATTCTTAGTATTCTCTTTGTTTATATTGTATTGATTTCAGCTCTCAATTTCATTATTTCCTGGCATCTATTCCTTCTGGGTGACTTTGCTTCTTCTTGTTCTAGAGCTTTCAGGTGTGCTGTTAAGTCACTAGTGTGAGATTTCTCCAACTTCTTTCTGTGGGCATTTAGTGCTATGAACTTTCCTCTTAGCACTGCTTTTATAGTGTTCCTTAAGTTTAGGTATGTAGTACATTCGTTTTTATTGATCTCTAGGAAGTCTTTAATTTCTTTATTTCTTCCTTGATTCATTGGTGATTCAGTTGAGCATTATTCAGCTTCGATGAGATTGTAGGCTTTCTGTAATTTTTGTTGTTGTTAAAATTTAACTTTAAACCATGGTGGTCTGATAGAATACAGGAGGCTATTCTATTTTTTTGTACTGTTGAGATTTGCTTTGTGACCAAGTATATGGTCGATTTTAGAGAAGGTTCCATAGGGTGCTGAGAAGAAGGTATATTCTTCTGTGTTAGCATGGAATGTTCTGTAGATATCTATTAGGTCCATTTGAGTCATAACATCAGCTAAGCCCCTTATTTTTCTGTTGTTTCAATTTGGTAGATCTGTCCAGTGGTGAGAGTGGGGTATTGAAGTCTCCCAATATTAATGTGTGGAGTTTTTTGTGTGATTTAAGCTTTACTAATGTTTCTTGTACATATGTGGGTACCCTTGTGTTTGGGGCATAAATGTTCTGATGAGTATGCAATGTCCTTCTTGATCTCTTTTGATTGATTTTAGTTTGAAGTCTATTTTGCTGGATATTAGGATAGTTACACCAGCTTGCTTCTTAAGACCATTTGATTGGAAAGACTTTTCCAGTTTCTTCTATGATCTTGTTGAATATATTTTCTGTGCCTTTGAATTGGTATTCTTCTCCTTCTTCTATCCCTATTATCCTTAGGTTTGTCCCAGATTTCCTGGACATTTTGTGGTATGACCATTTTTGACTTTGGTATTTTCTTTGACTGATGAATCTATTTCCTCTATTGTATCTGCTACACCAGAGATTCTCTCTTCCATCTCTTGATTCTGTTGTTTATGCTTGCATCTGTATTTCCTGTTTGTTTACTCAGATTTTCTATTTCCAGCATTCCCTCTGTTTGCGTCTTCTTTATTGTTTCTATTTCCCTTTTCAGGTCTTGAACTGTTTCCCTCACATGTTGAATTGCTTTTTCATAGTTTTTTTGGCTTTCTTTAAGAGATTTATTGATTTTTTCCAATTTTTTATTTGTCTTTGCCTCTAATTCTTTATTGATTTCTTCCAATTTTTTGTTTGCCTTTTCCTCAATTTCTTTATTGATTTCTTCCAATTTTTTATTTGTCTTTTCCTCAATTTCTTTATTGATTTCTTCCAATTTTTTGTTTGTCTTTTCCTCAATTTCTTTAAGGGAATTTTTCACTTTTTCTTAAAAAGCCTCTAGCATCTTCATGAAGCTTTTTTATGGTCACTTTCTTCTGCTTCCTCTATATTGTGATGTTCAGGTCTTGCTGTTGGAGGATGGCTAGGTTCTGGTGATGCTATATTGTTCTTTATGTTGTTGTATGTATTTTTACATTGATGTCTGCCCATCTCCTCCTCTTATAGGGTTAAGAGATGCCTTTGTCTGAGCAAGTTGTGATTGGTCCACTCTGTTCTTGTTGTGTCTGTGTCTCAGGAAGCCCACCTGGGTCCAATCCTAGCTCTTGGTCTAATTGGAGCTGGCAGATTCTGTATCTTAGGGAGCTGCTCTTGGCTCAACCCAAGCTTGTTGATTCTATGACTCATGGAGCCACTCTTGGTCTTATCAGGGCTCTTGGTCCAGTCAGAGCTGACAGGTTCTATGTCTCAGGAAGCCTCTCTTGGTCCAATGAGAGGTAGCAAATTCTATGTCTCAGAAAGCCACTCTTGGTCTAATGAGGGCTGGCAGATTCCCTGCCTCCAGAAGTTACTCTTGGTCCAATGAGAGCTCTTTGTCCAAATAGAGCTGGCTGTTTGGTTTCCTTGCCTCGGGAAGTTACTCGGGTCACAGGCAGATGGGTGTTGGGGAAGGGCATGGAACTTGCAGATTGCAGGGTTCAATGGGGTTTTTGATGGGGGGGCTTCCCAAAGGAGTCTTTGCTGCTGACTGGCAACTGGGGCGGAGTTGGGTGGGGGTTGCCAGGGACTGGCTATGTCCCAAGGCTTGGTTCCTAGGGGCAGAACTCTCTGGGTGTTAGAAGAGTCACTCACCTCTTGGTTCAATGAGAGCTGGCTATTTGGTTTCCATACCTCAGGAAATTACTGGGGTCTCGGGTAGATGGGTATTGGGGCAGGGCATGTAGATTGTAGGTTCTGATGGGGAGTTGTGGGGGGGCCTTCCCAAAGGAGTTTTTCCTGCTGGGCAGCAACTAGGGCAGAGTTGGGTAGGGGTCCTGGGGACTGGCTGTGTCCCAGGGTCTAGGTCTTAGGGGCCTTAAATTTTTTAAATTTATTTTACATACCAACCACAGTTTCTCCTCCCTCCTCTCCTCCCATTCCCTCCCCACATCTCTTTTCTACCCTTCCCACATCCACTCCTCAGAAAGGGTAACGCCTCCCATGGGAGTCAACAAGGCTTGGCATATCTAGTTGAGGCAGGACTAAGCTCCTCCCCTGCTGCATCAAGGCTGAGTGAGGCATCCCACCATAGGCAGTAGGTATAATAATAATTCTGATGCTGTTCATCTAGCATTTTTCCTGGACTTCACACCTAGTACCCATCTATGTACAGACACAGCCATTTTGTTGCTTTGGTGCTAGGCACAGCTTCTACTCTTCTAGCATTTTCTTTCTCTGTAGTTTATGTGTGTACTGAGATCACATGCTGTGAAGACTGAAACCTCAGGTTTTCCATCACCTGGTCCCTATCAAAGGCACATTCCCTTCAATGGAGGTTGTGCACACAAACGTCCACACACAGTGCCATTTCAGACACTACTGTTAGAGTCATTGAGGTTTGGCATTGTGTGTCTCTAATAAGTTCCTAGATGCTGCTGGTCCATGGACCACATTTGAATAGCAGGAGTCTCTCTCTAGCATCAAGTTGTCCTTTGAATCCCTTCAAAAGTGTTTAAGGATTCCTATTTTTTTTTAAGATTTATTTCCATTTCATGTATATTTTTGTTTGCATGTGTGCATATGCACCACTTGGGTGCTGGTACCTGTGAAGGCCAAAAGAGGACACTGGATGCCCTAGAACTGGAGTTACAGGCAATGTTAAACTGCCGGGTGGGGAAAGGGAACCAAACCCAGGTCCTCTGCATAAGCATCCAGTCCTCTTAACCACTGAGCCATCTCTCCAGCTCCCTCAAAGGTGTTTAGATGGAAGATCCTTTATTTTTTCATTCCCTGAAGCATTGACATAACAAACAATCCAGCATTTTCCACCTATATTTTAATAAAAAAAATCACTTAGCTTTTTTTTCTTGGACAGCAAAGCTATTCCATGTTTTACTCAGAGCTAAGGTGTTTAAATTAGTTATTTATCTTGTCCCTGTGACAAAATAATTGACAGAAGCAATTTCAGGAAGAGTTTTTTCCTGACTCACACTTTGATGCTGCGGTTCATCATGATGGAGGAGTCATGGCAGCAGATGCTTGAGGCCACTGGTCACACTGCATGCACAGTCAGGAAACATGAATGCTGGCACTCGGTTCCCTCTCTCCTTTTCATTCAGTTCAGGAAGCTAGCTCATGGAATGATGTGCCACAAACAACATAGATCTTCCAGAACTGGAGAGGTGGCTCAGCAGCCATGAACACTTGCTGCTCTTCCAGAGGACCTGAGTTTGTCTGCCATGACCCATGATAGGCAGCTCGCAATCACTTGTAACTCCAGCTCCGGGGGATCTGGCACCATTGTTTGGTTTCAGTGTTTGTGCATACATGTGTGCACACACACATGCAAATAAAACAAGTAAATGTTTAGAAACAAGATGAGTCTTTTTCACATCAAATAACCTAATCAAGATAAACCTTCACGGGCCTATCAAGAAGCAAGATAGTCTAGATAACACCACAGCATTATGCCTGGAAGCTTATCTCCTAGGTGACTCTAGATCTGTCAAGTTGTCAATCACTGTCAACTACCACAACACTTTTGTCTTCATCCCACACTAAGATAACAGTATAGGTTAGAGAGAATTCTGTCTCTTGAAATTGCCCAGTTGTGATGATATGAATTTGGCCTAATATTTGGTCACCAACAATATAGATCTGAGGTCATCCGGGATTAAAATAATTTGACCTTGGGAATGGAAAGATGGCTTACCAGTTAATAACAATGGCTGTTCTTCCAGAGGACCTGGATTCAATTCACAACACCCACACAGCCATCTGTAATTCCAGTTGCCAAGGATTGGATATCCTCTCCTAGTCTCCATGGACACCAGGGATACATGTGCTGCACAGACATACATGCAGATAAAACACCCATACACATAAAATATATTTTAAAATAATAACTTGACCTTTTTTCTGGTATATCAGGTAGATGCCAGAGTGGAATTCAGTTCCAATGACCCTAGACTACCTTTCTCTGTTCTTTCCTGCATGCTGGGAGCACCATTTAAATTTCTTTTAATCTCAACTATGATGTTCTGCTTTGATCTTCCTTATTTACAATGTTCTTTTCCTTTTAGCTCTGTCTGATCTAGAAATGGCAGCACAAACCATTATTTTCATTTTTGCTGGCTATGATGCTACAAGCACATCCATTTGCTTCATGATGTATGAACTGGCCACCCACCCTGATGTGCAGAAGAAACTTCAGGATGAGATTGACAGAACTCTGCCCAATAAGGTGAGTGGATGGTACCCAGAGAGGGAGGGCAGAGGTGGAGAATTCACAAGAACATGTCTCATCACTTGCAATGAGAATTTTTACAGAGAGCCATGCAATGGTTCTTCCACCAGCAAGAGTCTAAAAGAGAAACAAAGGGAGGGACATGGGAGATGAATGTGACCTGTAGAAATACATGATCTTTAATACAGTGCTGGCTCTGGTGTGTCTGTATCTATCAAAACAGTTATACCAAGTAAGAGACACCAGAAAACCTGTGTGACACATAAGGGTAAGCACCAGTCCCTCAGGTGTCTGGACAGTTATCTCTGCTGATGTTCTTGGGTTCTGTCTATGCTACCTATGGTGCTAGGCTGGCCTTCACTGGTCTCAGCAGGCTGGCCCAACACTACTGTCAATGGCTCTACTGTCCAATCTGATAGCATGGTGTGTGTGTGTGTGTGTGTGTGTGTGTGTGTGTGTGTGTGTG